TTCCCGAACTAAACCTAAACAAGTCAAAGGCGACGAATCACGCAGAATTTATTGACGCCATAAATTTCGTGACCCCTTATTCAAGTGCACACTCTAATTGCGTATTTATAAGACAAGGTAAACTATTCAATCAGGTATCGATCAAGACAGGTGAAACATGACAGGTTAAATCAAACATAGACTGCTGGTCTGGCATCGTGGTGCGCATGGCGAGTGGGGAGGGGGAGAGATGTCATCTCAACAGGCGAGTTCAGATGGCAAGGGTATGGTTTACGCCTGGGGTCACTTATCCGGGGAGCAATTGTGTTGAGGAAAAGAGCCAAACATCCAAGAACTGTGTGGTATCACAAATCCTGGTCTTCCAAACTGTCACCAATCAAAAGGGGGCACCATTTTTGTCATTTAATAATAATAATTAGTAAATTTAGTGCCCATTTGGAGGCATTGCACTGTCGTATTTTTACTCCGATGAATACCTTAACGCTTCTTAACCAACCTAACGCAGAGGCCGCCAAGAGGTATTTTCCTTCTCTTCTCTGGCACCTACAAATAAATATCGCCAGTCATTTGCTTTTAGCACGATTGCTCCTCCAAAGTAAGTGACCCCGGGCGTAAACCATACACTTACCGTTCAGATTACAGTGAAAACTTGTCGGGTGGGTGGGACAACAGTCAGCCATGCCGGGGAGGCGGAAGGGGTTGGGAGGAAGTGAGAGAAGGCATACGGAAAAGGAGTTTCGTCCATTATCGATCTTTACTATGTCAGTGGAAGCCCTATCCCACTCATCTCTAAAATCGCCCTAACCACATTCGTTTGACACCTTCTTCGGCGACTCATTGATGTGAAGGGAGTTTCTTCACGGTCTGCTCATCCTCGTTCACAAGGCCTGAAGAACATTATCCTTGCAAAAGTAACACTGAGTGAAATGACAAAACACAGACAATATAGACAATCATTCTATGTGCGAGCAGCCAACTGTAAAATAGAATCTAAAGATTGCCTCGCGTAAAGTAGGAAAAAGTGTCTCACGTCCGTCGGCGGTTTGTCTTCTCGCATACGACACTTACGTCAACAATATATATTAATTCGGAATCGTAAGTTTTTAGAAAAAATGGGAATGTGTATATGGAGGAGAATGAGAGACCGCCGTAGAAACGATTGGTGAGCGTCCCCTCCACTACTATATTTTCCCGATCGCGATCTACAAGACAATGGGCCTGTGGCTCAGTGGTTAGAGGTGTTGGACTTCTAATTAACAGGCCGCAGGTGTTCCACACTTCGGGGTTGGGTATGACTGGCTGACGGCTAATAAGCCGGAACTGATTATTCCAGTCTCCCCTGTCTTTGTCGGTAATACCATTCTGGAGCTAGGTATGCCTATCCTCAGGGTAGGGTTCAGCCGAAAATGCAAATCAGCAGGAGAGTCAAAGTGTCATTGCAGTGCGCACGGTGACCTGGGGTAAGGCCGACAATGTGGCTGCTGCCACGGCATCCCAACGTCCGTAGCGGAGGCCTGATGAGGGTGAGCGGCGAGCGAAACGAAGGAGGTCTAGAAAGCCTGAGTCAAGACGACCTCGACTATTTGTCTCTGAGGTGGGCTGGGGAGGACATGGTGTTTTGTGGACTTCACGACGCAAAAAATGAAATAATCAAAATTACTCCTGAGAGATGGCGACAGACAAAATCCAAACCAGGAAAGGAAGAAGAGCGAAGGACTGCTTGGGGGGATGAGGAAAATGAAGAGTTAATACAGTCAGTATGAAGATGAATGCACAGTCTTCTCACATGTACGGATAGGCTATTCAGTGATCTATATCGACCGGCAGGTTATTCCGAAGAAAGAAATATCTGGAGGCACAGAAGTGATGGTACAACTCCGACGGCGTCAGTAAGTGCGAATCCGATCTATTGGCCACTACACATGCTTCCTTATTTCTTCCGGGCAAGGAAGGGAGTTCAGAGCAGGCTGCAAAAGACGTTGCAGTGAAAAACGTAGTTCGTCAAACCAGAAACAGTTCACTTGGCGTTTAAAAGCAGCCATGGCATCAGCAGTCGCGATTCTGCTTTCGAATGAGCTCCACGGTCGAACTATCTGCTGGCTGAAGGAAATTCCGTTGTTACACAAGCATACATCGGAATTTGACCTTCGTACTAAATTAGGTGAAGTAGGAACATTGCAAATATGTCAACTGGAACGGTCGCGCAGGCCATTTGCAGCACAGATTGAATGGCGATATTCGAGGACATCGTTTTTTGTTGGCATTGTAGTGCTTAGGGTTTAAAAAGGCTGGCAGTAAGGAATATCATTCGCAGGGTAACGGTAGAACAAGATTGTAATCTGTTTGTTCGGTCCAGTCCAGCTCATCTTCGTTAGGAGAAAGATATGCGAACGCCTTTTAACTCCCTTTTGGTTAGAAAATGTCTACGAAAAAGCAATGATAAGGGGAAAATTAAGAAAAGATATTGTTTACATAATTGCATGCAAAAGGAAGTAACTGTCTTCAAGTGTAAACATGAACGCCTACTCACTCGTTGTAAGTAGTTTGAATTAAGGAATTCCTGGTGGTCGGTTGTGGGCGTAGGTATATCTCATAATCAAGAAGCTTGATGCGTGTCCAGTTTACACTGAAATAACTCCAGACGAGAGGAGAAGACAACATCAGTGGGCAGGGCGTTCCACGCTGCAGCCGCTCTGTTACTGAAGTAAAACTTGCGTCCACTGATACTTCCTTTATCAGTGCCTAGTTTTAGGAGGTGAAAAATGTCTACCAATCAAGTAAAATGTGGCAGCTTCTATCAAAATTTTAATATGGCCATTCATTTAAGGGAATTTGGATGCTGGTGCAACATCTGCTTCAAGTCGGCGCAATCGTCAATCATTTTAGTTGCATAACCGCATCGCCTAATTGTTATGACCCGGCCTGGTACTCAGAAATCACACGAAATGTATGCGCACACGATCGTTGTCCCCAAAAACAACAAGACGGCAGAGAAGCGGAACACGACCTGTCACGATAACATGTATCAAAAGCCTGTCAGTCATTGCCCCTGAAAGGCCGCATTCTGTTCAGTATGGCTAATTTCTGACCAATCCGCGTCGAGAGAAAGATTTTGAAAAACCGAGCGGCTTCTCTCAGATATGGACCCAGCTGATTTGTCGGGAGCACTGTGGCCACAGCCAATGCGACAAGCTATTTCGCGCGCGTTCATGGCATGCGGTGTGGGAGCACGCGTTCTGTGGGATTGACTTCGTGGGAAAATGGACATTCTAAAAATACATAACTGAAAACCTTTTATTAACATACATATTATACTAACATAATGAATATTAAAATATTATATTAACATACATATTAATACACATATACATAAACTTGAATACTGTGCACATCGTCTTTAATAGGCCCTGAAAATGCAATGAACATTAACATAGTATATACTGAAAGGAACGGTATTCATATCACACCACCACCGAAACCACCACATCCATCACCACCACCACCACCACCACCACCACCACCACCACCACCAGCAACACCAACAATACCGCCACCAACACCACAACCACCACCACAACCCTCATCATCACCGCGAACACCACAACCACCA